TGCCATTGGGCTTCTTTACTAGAACCGGGTTGGCAACCCAGATCGGGTATAGTACCTCCCGGATGGATCCGTTATTGAGGAGGTTGTCTATTTCTAGCTTCAGGGCGGAGTACCGCTCTGGATCCATCGCTCTTTGTTTCTGGCGAACTGGTTTGGCTTCACTATCGATATTTAATGCATGGCAAATGACATCTGGGCTGATCTCGACCATATCTGCATGCGACCATGCGAACACATCGATGTTTTCCCTAAGGAAGCCTGTTAGTTCGGTAACGAGCTGGGGATTGAGATTTTTACCGACTCTTAACACCCTGCTCGACTCTTTCTGGTCGACAAGCACTCCACTCAAGTCCTTAACTGGCCCACTAGAAGGGCAGTCTTGAATGCGAGGGTCTAGGTTGTCCTCGGTAGGACCAGGTCATCAATTGACCCTGCTGATCGCCATGGCTTGCCTGTGATGGCTGCGTGCGGTGCCCTTTCCTTTGTACGCCATCTAGATAGCTTTTACATAGCAGTCGCGTGATGCGTGCTGAGACCCGCTGACTTCTCCGATCCCCGTCGGGGTGGGGAACTTCATCTTCAAATGGTAAATTGAAGTGACTGCCTTGAACTATCTTAGCAGAGGTCGTCCGAGGATCCCATTGAAGGCTGATGGGCAGTCCACCACTAAGAACTCAATTACCTTGGTCACTTCGTCAAAATCGCCCAGCGTGACTAGGAGTGAGATTGTTCCCTTGGGGAGTAGATGGTCTCCCGTGAATCTGTATAGTGGGAACGAGGCAGGCTTCAGGTCGGCTTGGTCCAGATTCATTCTTTCAAAAGTGGATGCGAACAGGATGTTCACAGCACTTCCGTTATCCACTAACATTCTTTGGGTGTTATAGCGCCCTATCAAGGGAGTGATTACAAGGGCGTCGTTGTGGAAATGATGCAACTTGGCCGCATCCTATTCAGAGAAGGAGATTTCCACCTCCCTGCGAACCTTTTGTGGTCGCTGATCCGCACTCATTACTCTAATGGGGTCATGATATGCTTCATAAGCATACCTTTCTTGGGCACCTCGCGAATTCCCAGCGAAGTACGGTCCCCCGAAAATCAAATTGAGACTGAGTACCCCTTTCAGATCGCGGCGCTTCTCACTCGGCTCCCTCCAATCTTTCTCTTTTGAGGGAGCAGAGTCATTGATGTATTCCTTGAAATGCCTCTTCTTGATAAGCTTTTCGATTGCTTGCTTCAGAGCTCGGCACTCATCAGTATGGTGCCCATTGTCCCGATGGTAACGACAGTACTTTTTATTATTTCTAGCTGTTGCAGGGGTTTTCATGGGCTCGAGCTCTCCAAGCAGACTGGCTTCTTCGGATTTATCAAGAATGGCAGATACAGAGGCGTTCAATGGAGTATATTGGTGCCTGTCGCAATCGCGATAAGGAACGGGTGCATAGGATTTTCTGGGCTCGTAGCGAGGTTTTTTCCTTTTTCGCTAATTGTCGATGGTCCCTCCGCAATCAGCCCTTCGGCTTTCAGACATACTGCCAGACGCGTCGGAGTCGCTACGGCGGAGTGCTGCCAACGAATTTTCTATCTTGAGGTATTTCTCCGCGAGGTTATAGAATCTGGTGAGGGAAACATTGTCCTCAGCCTGTAATTCTTTCCACAGGTCGGTTTACGGGCGAACTCCAACTATTATGAGTGTTCGGATGGACTCTTCGGGGCCATGAGCCACCTTGTTGAGTTCCCTATGGAAACGGTCGATGTAGGATTGTAGGGATTCATCTCTTTCTTGCCTTATGTTGCTGAGATAGCTCAAAGGCATCGAAAACTTTCGATTTGCTTGGAAATGCCGTAGGACGTCGTGCTCATCTGAGGCCAAGAATTGATCGATCCCGCTGGGAGTGACCTTAACCACCATTTGGCATGAGAAGTTAAAGTCACGGCCAAACAACGACATTTTGCAAGATCTGAAACCTGGTGGAGCTCCATCAGGTCGTTGAACTCATACAAATGATCCTGCGGATCATGGTTCCCATCAAACGGCCACATGTTAGGCATCCTGAACCCCGGTGGGAGTGGAGCAGCTAACACTTTGGGAGAGAAGGGGGATGCAGAGGCGACCTGGGCCTGCTCGTTTTGCCGCTCTCTCAGCCTATCCAAAGCTCGCTGTAGCTCCTCAATTTGTGGTAGCGGAGCTAGTTGGGGATTGCTTTCACCCATGCAAGTCCGGCCCTCGCGATTACGGTTCAGGAAAGTCCGGAGGTTGGACTCTTCTTCGCCTCGGCCGACACTTCTGACCGCTCTCGACACACGTTGGCTAGACACGTTGGCTAGAGGCGTGTGAAGGCGATGGATGGTATGGGTATTTTCACGACCCTTGCGGTGATACGAACCACCCCGCGAGGTATGGGGACCACCCGCATGATAGCGATCAGGATCGTTCTGCTGGCGGTGATAAGAATCACCCCGCCCAGCACTTTTGCTTGGGTTCATCTGCGATGTGGCATGGGACAGCTCGGGATTCACTTTTTCGTCGAGTCTCAGCTTTGTCGGCACCCTGCTTGGGGCACGGTTTGTGTTCGCTGGCCCTTTGGAGCCCGTCTGCTTGCTTTTTGTCACTTGCTTACCCTTATGTTTACGCGCTACAGTGCTCGCGGCACGGGCTATTTCCTTTTGCCACGCTTTCGCGCGACCTGCAGGCGTTTTTGGCGGTTGCACTGTCCCAACTGTTCTAGATGGCATGCCTTGGTCCAAACGGTCCAGCCTTTGGTTGACCGTCTAGAAAGTATTGTCAAACCTCTCTAGGTAGCTTCTGATGGCGGGGTCAAGCTGCGAAGCTGCTGGGATATCCACCGCAGCATTTTATGGAACTGGAATTATCCTGGAAGAGGTATCCCCCTGGGTTAGGGGAACTCCCTCAGCGTGCTGGTTGACTTACTCAGGTTCAGATTGGCGGGTCATTTGTTGCTGTAGGACCAGTAGGTTAGAGATTCTCCTGATGAAGGATAAACACTAGATCTGGCCCTCGTTTTAGTGCCAAACTGTTGATGCGGGATTTTGACACCAACTAATTGACACGTGCGTAACGTTGGTTGGCCAAGAGACACATGTGGGTATGGATAAAGTGTAGAGTAAATGCAGTAATGAGAGCTCTTTAAAGTGGTTCGGATGCTAAGGTAGCAAGCCCTACGTCCACTGATAGTTGTATTAGCATTGTGGGTCAGGTCGCAACAGTGGACTGACTTACAAATGATTAAGGAAAAGTAAACTCAAAGATACAAGAGAGAGAGAGAGAGAGAGAGAGAGATAGCTAGTTCAAAGTGTAAAAGGGTCGAATCCCCTCAATGAAGGGGTCTTCCCCTTTTTATAGTGAGATGAGTGCAAGTAATCATCATTAAATCCATGGATTGGTGTGCATATCAGGACAAAATCCGGCTTTACGTCACATTGCCCACCTTCCAAACTGATTTCACGCGATTTAGAGCAGGGAATGGACACGTGGGATCTCCACAGCGTCTGGCAGGCCTGGCATGCGCTTACCGTTCTGACGAGAGCAGGTCATACTCCATCACGTGATTTCCCACGTCAACCCTTGATTTCCCAGGCATAACAATATATAATGTAAATCCAAATTAATAAAAGTTTGCAATTTGTAAACGAAGCAAAAACAAAATCTGAGAAAATATTCCTAATAATTATTTTATGGGGGATTTGAAGGAGTAGGAAATGAGTTTGAAGAATAAGGAATAGGTTTTGATTTCATTTTGGATTTGGTTGTCAATTTTGGTTAATTTTCCTATTTGTTGTGTATTTTATAAAGTTTATAAGGGTAAAACTGGCATCTTTCTAGTCAAAGTTGGTAAAATTAAAATTTAGATGGATGATGACTAACACTAGGGTTGACGGTGTCAGTTTCCGAAACCAAGGGGGAGTTCTTTTTTTTTCGCTCCAACTTTGACATTGGGAAAAAAAATGTCATTCATCCTATACTATTTAAAAAATGTCTCACCTCCTAGTTTCGGAAACTGACAATTACCCCTGTAACTTTTATATATGACACTCTAACTTTGCAAAATTGAAATGGGGGAATGATTGGAGGTTGATTTGGAGTTTGTTTTAGAAGGAGAATGATTGGTTTTGAAGTGTTTGTGGTTTGTTGATTGACTGTTGTTTTCTTTTCGGCCATTTCACCCTGTCTCTGGCCTCCTTCAACCTTACCATTGCGCACACCCACCAAATGTTCGACAAATTGCCTCAACGACACTTAACCTTCATCCACACACAGGGATAGTTGGTAAAGGTAGTGTTGTTGAAGAGGAGGAGATGAGGATGCTGATGGTGGTGTTAAGGGTAATTTTCGGTGTCGAAATCTATCGAAATTTGGCCTAAAAACTTAAAAGTCGCATGGACTAGCAAGGAACAGCGGCCAGTAATTGGCAGATGCACTCGGGTGGCAAAACCAAGGGTTTTGGTGAAGAGGATGAGGGGATGCTAATGGTGGTGTCGAGGAGGTCTAATAGGGCCAAAATTAGGCCAGATTTTTGCCTTGGCTGAGATCTTCTGTGGAGGTTATTTGAGAGAAATTTGAGATGTAAACATTATTTTGAGAAAAAATTAATAGTATTAATTTAAAGATAAAAATCTGAAATTTATAAATCCAGAGGTGAAAACTTGTCATTTCACCAAACCTTAGATAAGAACGCGATGTTTACTCTTAGTTTTATAAAGAGTTTTTGGATAAAATAGCGTCATTTCATCCCAGGGATGAGAGATTTTATTATCTTTATCTCTAAAAATTTTCAATCAATAGTTATTTTGGATTGACTTGCGTTTGACTTTTGCTTACATTTAAATTAATTATTATTGAAATATGTATTTTATTTTAGATTTTTATTATTAAAATATTTTTTTGACCCCTCTTAATTTTAGTTATTTCATCTAATTACCACCCATCCCAGTTGACACTCCTAGGTCCTAAACCGAGCTACGATCCGTTCCCAAAAAAAAAAATATATATATATAAATTAATTAAATTAATTCAAATTAATTTTGGCCAAATCAAAATCTAAACAAAACAACACTTGCCATTTGGTTTCTGAACAGATCTCTCTTTCGATCATTCCCTTAAAAGCTTCAGCTTAAACCCTAGATAATTGAAATTGCGACTAAATGTACGCTATCAATCTCTAACAACATCAAATCTTCACCCACAAATTTTGTCTCTGCTCGGTTTTCGGTGCAATGGTGGTCTGCAAATGCCGAAAGGTATTTTCTGTCTCTCTCTCTTATCGCTGATCATTTTATCCAATTCGCTGAAATTGTGAATGAACTTGTGTTTGATTTCTTTTTTTTTTTTTTTTCATGCGAGAATGATTTAATTCGCGTCGAAATTTAGTGTTTATTGATTGAGGTTTTAGATCTGATTTGATTCACTATTTTGTTGTTTCTGATCCAGTCGGATCGTTTATAGTTCAAATCGCGGCCGTTATTTTGTTCTAGATCGATTCATTATAAAGAAAAAGAGAGCGGACTTCATTTTGTTGGTTTACGAACTGTTAGTCTTTGGTATGTGTTGGAGAATTATTTATGTAATTTTTGGTGTTTCAGGCTACCAAATTATATTGTTTCGTGCACAAGGTTCCCGTTTGTGGAGAATGCATTTGCTTTCCTGAGCACCAAATATGTGTAGTAAGTACAGTGAATTCAACGTTTGTTTGTTTCTATAATTCTTTAGAATTTTGGACACTGGGTAATTGGCATTTGATTTACTGGATCTTGTTGTGTTGTGGAGTTCTTGAAGGTTATGATTATGCATCTGTACTATGCCATTATGGGTTTGTATGGATTTTGAGATTTGATTATTTTGTAGAGCTGATTTTGGTATCGGGAATATTGAGTATAGTGTAATGTAATGCGCAGGGTTGAGTTTGTAACTGTTAGAAGTATGAACAGATTAAGAGTAAGCAATGGCAGTTATTTGGATTTATATGAAGAATGTAATCACACAGATGCATGGGATTCCAATGTTGGATAAGGATTAGGTCTCTGATACAAACAATGTTTTTGTTTTCAGACATTTAGTAGCCTTAAATCAATGTTAAACAAATTTGGCTGATAATAGTTAAGATCCCATAAACTTCCTAAGTTGAGCTACAGAGTCTTCAGGCCATTTTAGATGATCGATATCCTACCCTCCCTTTTTTAAGTATTTGACAACGCATTTTTCTTTTCTATAAGTATAGACTCTTTTTTCCTCCCATTATGAAGATTTTGAAGGTATACTTGTCACAGTTGTCCTTAGTCGACCTCAGTTACTGCATTCTAGATCTTTTAACCTTGTAACTTGCATTCTTTATCTTTTAACCTTTGGCAGGGATTGTCTGGAATAGTAAATTATTACTTCCTTTAGGATGTATGTCTGAATGGATACGCTGATTATAGATTTCTTGGAAATCTTGTATGCAATCTCTGTTATTTGCATTGGCTACATTTGTTAGGATTCAATCTCAAAAATTTTTATTGGCATGTAGGACATGAAGGTTTTTCCATGCTTTCTGCTGTATTTATTTATTTTTTTCCATATTTGTAGATTCGTACTTACTCAGAATGGGTAATAGATGGAGAGTATGATTGGCCTCAAAAGTGTTGCCAGTGCCAAGCTGTGCTTGAAGAGGGGACCGGCTCTCAAACCACCCGATTGGGTTGCTTGCGTATGTATTTTTTCAGATATTGTTAATTCCTGTTGCAATTATTATTTTTATTATTAATTTTTATTTTATTTTATTGAGATTTCATGATGAACTCATCTGTTGAGCTTAAGTCAACTATTTTTGCTCATTTTAGATGTTATACACACAAGTTGTTTGGCTTCACATATCAAAAGCTTTCCTTTGCACACCGCACCAGCTGGATATGTGTGTCCATCATGTTCTACTTCGGTAAGTCTTATATTACTTGCACTATCATCTTGTTATATCCTTTTTTTCTTTTCTTCATTGCCATGTTTGTCAGTTGTTCATATAGAGCAGTATTTCAGGTGATAGGATTCAGTTTTTGTGTTCTCTTACTAGTAAACCATGCTATTATGGCCTCTGGTCATTTTTGCTTGACGTATTTGCATATTCTCTTTTTCTTTTGGCTGAGCATATTTTCTGCAATTGTTCATATCCACATGGTGTTCTCATTTTTGCAGATATGGCCTCCTAAGAGTGTTAAAGATTCGGGATCCCGCCTTCATTCACTGCTGAAGGAAGCAATTATGCAGGTGAGATTCATGTTTCCTCTAAGATTGTTGTAAATAAATGTTCATTCCCAGGAGAACCTGACTATTGTTATCTAGTACTTCGATTATCTGATTGTTGTTCCATCGAAGCTGAAGATTATTTTTGTGAGTATAATTATGACATGCTCATTCTTAATTTTCAACAGTTGATATAGATGTTTTACCTTTTGCAGTCATCCTTAAGTTCTGTGCTTTCACCATAGGTTTATATAGTTTGTTATATTTGATGGTTGGATGGGTTACATTTCAGACTTATGTTTACTAATATGGGGTAAAAGGCATGGATCTTTGTAACGGAAATGTGCATTGGATCTAATATCTGGGGACTGTTTTTGATTTGCTATTTTGTTGATTGTGATCTAGAAGGGTCTTCAGTTCATTGAGAACTTAGATAATTCTTGCCTAACATTTTGCAGACTGGGTTGGAAAAGAATATGTTTGGGAATCATCCAGCTTCTTTGACAGTGACAGAGTTCCGCAGTCCTCCCCCTGCATTTGCATCTGATCCAATAATTTCTTCTTCTGGAAGCAGAGAGTATAATGCAAGCTCATCAACCTCTGTGGCAAAAGATGGAATAAATGTAACTGAAGGATACGTGGCACCAACTTCTGTGTCAGAAATTATGGAGATAGAGAGTCCTAGCTCAACAGGGAATTTTATCAAAAGTTCTAGTCCTCCTGGTGTAAGGATTTTGTAGTTAATTATTGAATCTAAAATATGATGTTTGTGTCATTTTTTATATGCTTTTATGCAAGTGTCCATTTGGCTGTGTGTTTGCTTAATTTGTTTTCTAAATTTTTCTTTTGATATTGATATGTGACACAGCCAGGGGCTACAACACGAAAGGTTACTGCCCATTTTGAGCGACAGAACTCTGAAATTTCATATTTTGCAGATGATGAAGATGGGAATATTAAGAAGTATTCACGGAGGGGTGAGTAAAACATTTAGTATATTTATATGATGAACGAGTTGTTCAGCTCGGGAATTGAACTGTTCAGGTTCTTTTTAATATAAATATCTGATGTTCCCTAGTTTCTTCCAGTTGAGTGTTACTAACATGTAGCATTGCCAAACCTGTGGAATACTGGTCTTGTTTTCTAGACCAATACGTGCTTTTGTTCAATGCATGCTCTGTCAATTCGGCTAGCTTCTGTCCTTGAATTTGATTTTAGATTTATAAGTAAAGCTGATTATGGCGAACCATTGTAGGCCCCCTCCGTCATAAGTTTCTCAGAGCATTGCTGCCTTTCTGGTCAAGTGCATTACCAACTTTACCAGTGACTGCTCCTCCACGTAAAGATGCATCAAATGCAGATGATGTCCCAGAAGGTCGTTCGCGGCATCAAAGAGCCTCAAGGACTGATCCAAGGAAAATCCTGCTCTTAATAGCAATCATGTAATGTCTACCTTTCATAATCTGTGTTTTTTATGTGTGCTTGTGAGCGTTACATTTTCTTGCATATCTGCTGAAGCTTGTGTGTTTTGACATCTATATGTTCTTTGTCCCGGATCTGTTAGAACAACAAAAAGGGAGTGGAAAAACAACAGAAAGAAAGAAAAGAGAGAGGGGGGGTGGTTGGAAAGTCTTTAGATTAAGTTCACCTTTGCTAACTTAAGTATATATTTGTTTATATAACTGCACCTGTCCGGCTAAATACACAAATATTGTAGACATATACGGTTATCTATTGACCCATAAAACAAATAGGGATGTTTCATTGGAGAAATATATGAAACAATCATTATTTTTCCTTAATCCAGTCTCTGTTATCTTGTACAGGGCATGCATGGCTACAATGGGGATTCTATATTACAGACTTGCGCAACGGGCTCTAGGGGAAGGGCTGCCCGATGATGAGCAGCAGTGATTATAATTTAAGGTTGCAGTGGAATATACATGAACCACCTGCTGGTTATTGATGGTGCTGCTGCTTTCATTTATTCAGCTCCTTATGTTTAACCTGTGGCTGGTTTTAGCTGAAACACAAATGATTTTTTTTCTTTTTCTTTTTCTAAATGCAGATGACAGTGACTGTTAAATAGCCTTTCCTGGCTTCTGATTGTCCCTTTGTTATCTGTTTTGGAGTGGAATCGTTGAATCAGGTTTAAGGCAAAATGTTTTGTTCAAAATGGATTTGTTTTGTAATTATCTCTATTCAGTTAATAAACTTGCAAAAATGGAAAGTTGCTTAGAATATTACTGGTTTCTTGGATTTCCTGATTGACAAGACATACTTAAATAATAGTTATTCAAAAAAATAATAGTTTGCTTTCAATAAACTTCGTCTCCTGTTGATTTTGTGTAACCTTCAATAATAAGATTCTTAATTTTCATTTATGTAATATCGTAATTTAAAGTAAATAATTTCGCAAGATTCTTTAATTAATTAATATAAGCGGTAATTAAGGTTGATGAAGAAGCAATCTCTAATACAAATGGATGTTGATTAATACTACATTAAGGAAATTGTGTTTTAAATAATCCAACTAAATAATTATGTGTGAATGATTTTAAATTCATGCTTTTTTATTTAATATTATTATTAACATATAAACAGATTATCTCTTTCTCGTTCTTTATATTCTTTATTTCTTTTGCAATTATAATTACATATTCAATATTCATTTCTAATCACTGTTGGATCGAAAGTAAAAAATAATAAGTAAATTATTCTATTGATGATTAAAATTTTTTAATAATTTCCGTATATTTACATATTATCATTTTCATACAATATTTTCTATACAATATTATGTGTATATGACTGGTTAATTAAAGTTAAAATAAACTTTCATCCAATCACATATTGTTATATAATATATGAGAGATGTATGTGTAGTATTATTTTTAATAATTAAAATATTTTATCTGTATTTGAAGCACAATTTGTAAGTAAATATTCATTATAAAAGAAACTTTACAAAAGCAAAAGACCATTAAAATGGGCCAACCTGCCACAGGATAGGCCAAGTTAGGCACAAAAGAAACAAGTAACCAGCATAGACTACGCTAATTGCTATACAAAGCAACTAATCACAAAAGAGTGTACATAAAACACACATTACGGAGGCTCTCTAAAATAAACACCACCCAAGCAAACCAATCAAAACAGAATACAACACAACACAAGGAAGATGCCAAACCCGACTAATCAAAAAGTTTACCGTCACAAAGGCCCGAAGCAGTGATGAACCAAATAAATACAACCCGCCAAGCACAAGGAAGCCGAAAAAGAATCACACCATCACAATCCCAAGTGATGTGATCCTTCCCCAAGACACAACAAAATCACCCTCATTGGGTTTTGAAAATGGACGGAGGAAGTCCAAGTTGTGAGCAACCGAGAGTTATTATTGGTTTTCTTCAATTTTGTAAGCTCCATAGTCTCTCCCTAACCACATTTTTTATGAGTGAAAACAAGGCATAGCATCTTGACAATCTCTCCCAAAATGCTATTGTTTCTTTCCCTCCAAATGTAGTAAACGGCGGCCCCCACGGCATGTTGACCTTCTTAGTTTTCCATCTCCTGGTGAGGTGCCCTATGTACTCTTCCAATTCGAGCAGTATAGCCCAAAAACACATGCCCATCAATCGATTCCAAGTATTCCTAGTGAACGAGCAATAGAAGAGAGATGATCATTAGTTTTCTACCTACCGGTTGCAAAAACAAGTAGTCCCATTAGAAGCAACAACATAGTTAACCAGCTTGTCCTTGGTTTGTAAGCGATCATTAATGGCCAACCACAAGATGAAGGAATGTCTCAGGATTGCCTTTTGGTGCCACTCCATTTTTGTTTTGTGCACTCTACAAGTCTCCCAAGCCAATTTGATGCTAAACAAACCCAAGGGATTAGGTTTCCAGACAACCACATCTACATTGCTCATACGGAGAGGAATTGCCAAGTTGTTTCAAGGAGAGCGGTGGAGTTTGCCAATTGCCAATTCCAATTAGTTCCATCCCAAACCTCACTTACCCTAGTATGACTTGAGAGTCTCGAGTCATAAACAATTCTACTTCCAAAATCTCTCAAAAAGGGTTCCTTTAGGATGCCAATTATCATGCCATAGGTAAGTATTATCGCCATTGCCAATAACATAATGGGTTTTGTCCCTAGCAACATCTCTAAGTTTCAAAATGCTTCTCCACGTCCATGACACATCAGCGAGAGATAAAACTTCCCAAATAATTTTTTGGTCCAAATAGAATTCCTTAACCCAATCAACCCACCCGAAAGCACTCTGATTTTGAGTCACATTCCAAAGATGTCTCATCATTACTGCTTTGTTCCAATCTTTGTTTCTTGTAATTCGCAATCCCCCTTCCTCTCTGGGCGCACAGACATTCTCCCAACCAACCTTTGCTTTGTTCTTATTCATATCCGATCTCGACCAAAGGAAAGCTCTCAAGCTAGCTTCAATTTCCTTATGAATTTTAGAGGAAGGATGAAGATAGAAGACCAATACACTTGGATACTCGAAAGGACCGATTTGATAAGGATAATTCTATCTGCATAGGAGAGAAACTTACTCTTCCAAGAGTTGATCCTAGCCAAAATCTTGTCCACCAACAGCTTACACTCGACATATCTTAGTTTCTTGATAATGAAAGGGACTACTAGATACATAATTGGAAGATTGCCCTCTTCAAAGCTGAACACTTGTAAGAACTCATGCTTCTCATTATCTTTGATCCCGAAAAGGAAAATATTGTTCTTGGAGTGGTTTGAGGCAAAAACTTCCATAGCTCAACTTCAGAGTGCAATTGCTCTTTCTAAATCTGAAATTGCTGGTATATGTTCTTCATTGGGGGAGAGCAACCTGTGAATGTAAGTTCCTTTTGGATTGAAGAAACAAGACTAATGTTTTAACTAACTTCTTAGTTAATATAGTGAAATTTTTTAAGTGGTTGATAAGTTGTATGTTTTGGTTGAGGACTTCAGTGTGATCGAAAGGCTGGTGGAAAATTGAAGGAAAAAATTTATATCATTATTCCACAATTGGAGGATGTGCGCCAGAGGAAGACAGAGAGAGAGTCAATTTGCTGAAGTGTTAAATAAGTTACAGGAAATATCAAACCTGCGAAAAGACTAGAAGGATTACACATGCAATTAGTCGATCTTCAAAGTGAAAAGGTTTGATGCCCTAATTTCTATTTTCCTTTTTTCACATGTATGACACTATTCCTGCTGTCAGATTTGGAAATGAATGCTACATATTAGTTACTTTTAGCCGTCATGTTTATGTTAAGATAGATGAGAAATTGCATGTAATTTGTAATTTAGAATTATTTTTTCCTGCAAACTTGAAGCTGTAATATCACATCGACGTACTATGTAACTAACTCTACGATTGAGAAGTTGGCAATGAAAATTCGAAGTTTTCAAGACTCAAGAGGTCAAGATGCAGAGAACGCAGAAGGTTTGTACCTGTTTTACAAGTTTATGAAATGAGAATTTATTGTAAATTTGATGAGGATGATTGAATGGTTATTATGGTGTGTGATTTTTTATAACTGTTCCTTTATATTCATTCTATTGTAAATGCTATAAATCTCAAGACATTCCTAATTAATAATATCCATATATAAATTATAAATTAGTTTTAAAATCTAAAAACATTTAGAATATAACAAAGTAAAATATATTTATTTTTACTACAATTTTTAATGCATATATAGTATTCTCTTAATAATAAAAATACTTAGTTATAATTAAACTTACGAAGGCCTAAATTAAAAAGTTTTGCTTAAGTCCAATGACCGTCAGGGTCAACTTGAATTTCATAAAATATCTTATGGATTGTCATGCAATATGCTCTAAATTAAATGTTTTTGTGTATAACAAAGGAATGTGATTTAATTTGTAAGGGTAGTAGATTGTAACATTAGATGTGTATGTTAGCCCTGTTTTTGCTTACTAGGGTCAATATGCGTCTTTACAACTTTTTATTTAAAGGAGAATAAACAAAACATCATTTTGAAACTTTCTCTTGAAAGATTTTTCTATTCAACTCATATTCAGTTTTTAAGTTTAGAACATCACTTTAAACATTCTTACTTTCCCTCTCTATAATACCCATTCTATTTTTTGAAATATAAGAGGTGAATAAAATAATTTCTAAGATTGATATTCACATACTAAACCTTATATTTGTTTCTATTAGTCACTATCATATTTTAAAACCAAATTGATTTCTTTCTCTTTGTTTAGGGATAAACTGATAATTTGTAAAAAACAAATGGAAAGGAGTTTATGTAAACCAAGTGTAAATAATATTATTAATTTTTGTAGGTAATTTCATTTATAAATAAAATTTAGATAATTTTAATGTTTTCCATCTCCTGGTGAGGTGCCCTATGTACTCTTGCCAAGGTCGAGCAGTATAGCCCCAAAAACACATGCCCATCAATCGATTCCAAGTATTCCTAGTGAACGAGCAATAGAAGAAGAGATGATCATTAGTTTCTACCTACCGGTTGCAAAAACAAGTAGTCCCATTAGAAGCAACAACATAGTTAACCAGCTTGTCCTTGGTTTGTAAGCGATCATTAATGGCCAACTACAAGATGAAGGAATGTCTCAGGATTGCCTTTTGGTGCCACTCCATTTTTGTTTTGTGCACTCTACAAGTCTCCCAAGCCAATTTTATGCTAAACAAACCCAAGGGATTACGTTTCCAGACAACCACATCTACATTGCTCATACGGAGAGGAATTGCCAAGTTCTTGACTTCAAGGAGAGCGGTGGAGTTTGCCAATGGCCAATTCCAATTAGTTCCATCCCAAACCTCACTTACCCTAGTATGACTTGAGAGTCTCGAGTCATAAACAATTCTACTTCCAAATCTCTCAAAAAGGGATCCTTTAGGATGCCAATTATCATGCCATAGTAAGTATTATCGCCATTGCCAATAACATAAT